ATACCTACTACTTGAATAGTGAAAATCTCTCTTCCTTTCACCCGCTTCTCGCTCCCCATTCGGACTCGTTTCCCTTCCTGGAAGTCTTCTGTGGCCCAGAAGAGCAAGCCCTCTACCTTGCTCTCCACCTCCTCTGGGTCGCCATCGTGTTCAAATTCTGTTACCCCTCTGTAGCCTAGAAGCCCGAATGGCGTGGTTCACCGGAGCCGCGTCCTTCCTCTGTTACTGTGGCCGGTGGAAGCGGGGGACGCGTGGCTGACGGTATGCTTCTACTCCTTCCTTTTCCATTTGCGATGCTGACAACTTCTGTAGCACCCCGGGGCTGCACAGCCCCCGAGGTCGCTTCGTGCGTGTTTTTACTACTCGGGAGCCTTCGGATTCATGGGTTCTTTTCGTCCTGTGGATTTCTTGTGTGCCTCTCCTGAGTCGACTCCTGCTGAATTCCCTGTAAGGCAAGTGGCCACAAACATTATTTCTGCCTCTATTCCTATGAAGTTCCCGTCGCGACCGAAGTATCGCTATTTTCTTTCTCCCCGGGTCGACTATCTTCTAACCTCCCTCCAGCAACCTTGTAAGTTTTGTCTTGGTGTTTTCACGATTTACTAATTATTGGCCCAACTGAACCATCCCATGCCCAGCTCAGCTTTAACCCCCGGTTTCTCAGGCACCAATTTAGAATCAGCCAAAGTACAGGTACAACCAACGGTAGTAGAAATTTGACAACTCGATCCAGGACCTTCACCGAGCCTTCCGCATTCGTCTCAAACTTTGGAGGCGATGAACGCGGCAGCAGCCGGGGTGTCCGCGCCGTAAGTCCTGGGTTCAGAATCAGCAGTCGTTCCATTATTTCGCAGGAATAGCCAACGAACAGATGCGGGAGCAAAACTAAGTCGCCGCCCAAGCAGATGTCGTCGCCGATATGGCATATGACATCGACCTTCGAGGACGAGACTCCTTGTACGGCCTGGCCGTTTTCGGGATCGCCCTGTTCGTGATGGATATAGTAGACTGAATGCTGCTGACTCGGAGGCGACACTCACGAAAATCACAGCCGCGCTGATGCGCGCTGCAACCGCCGAGGAGAGCTGCTTCGCCGAGTTGTGAACGAGCTGGCCGCCTTGACTGTAACCGACCGAGACGATCGATGCCTGGACACAGATGAATATTCCGTGCCGCCTGGATGAGGTTCAACCTACACTCGGGCACGAATTCGCTGCGTTGGTGATCTGGAAAACACGGTTAGTGAAGTATCACAAAATGCGTCGCGAAAAAGCCTCACGTCCTGTGCCATAGCAGCCGAGCCCGCGGGATCGCCGCCTTCGAGGAATCCAGGGATGTCTGCCGCATAATCAACGCCAGTGAAAGTCAACGACTTTCCGCCCAGCGCGGTCCGGAGGGCGGCCTCCAACGGCGGCCCGACAACAGTTCCAATGGGGGCCGGCTCAGTGGTCCCACGCGCGAAGAAAAGCTGCGGTGGATTTAGATTTCGGTTAGAATGTTTAGAACGCCCGGCTCACAATAACGTCGGTGCACGCATCCGCCGCACGTTCCTCTACGACAGGTGCCGCAAGCGCGAGGAGGCTGAGAGACACGATTGCGATGAGAGAGCGATGCATGTTGGGCTGCTGGAGTGCACTCCAACTCTGCTGCGCTTTTATACCCGAATTGAATAGTGCATGCCCGGGTGCAGAGTGTGCTGGCGGATGATCCCCGTCGTTGCACTGTAACCCGGACAAGATCCATTCAGATATATTCAAGGTACATTGTGGAGCTACATGCAGGTAGGTATATTACAATATGCAGCTATCACTGCGTTCAGAGGACGGATGACCACGGGGCCGCCTCGCGGGAGATATCCGAGGACATATGGCTAGCCGGCCGAGCCACGTGTGGCTAGCTCTGGCCAGCCGACCGTGCGTAGCTAGCCACAGCTACACATGCCTCCCCACACCTCCCCACACCTCTGGCTTGTCATAGGGAGCGGGTCGATGGGGCTGGCGAGGTTGTGCCGCGGGACTACCCACAGTGCGGCTAGGTGCTGGCCATGAGCTCGCAACAGCTAGTCAGGGTGTGGATAGGTAACTACTGTACTATTTCGACCAAGTGTTCATTCATTTCCGAATTTTCACTCACCGAGATGGCCGAGAATTTCCTTTTGAATTGTCACGATTTTTAACGGCCTCAGAACATCGGCCGTCACGCGTCACCTGAACACTCGGTCGAAATAGTACAGTAGCTAGTCCTGTTGTAAGCGAAGGGTGCGATCGGTAGGATCTTGTTCCGTCGACGCGAAACCTGGCGTGTAGGAGGCGCGTTTTATCATGATATGAACACATTCAACGAAGCTAGGAACATTGCCTTCAGATTCTGTCTCCTCAGAATTGTGGAAACTACACGAGAAACGGGGTTACGAGACCTAGCGACCAATCACGTGCCGTCTCGAGAAATATTCTCTACAGCCGCGAACGGTGTTCAAAAAAAGTTCTGACGTAGGCACAATCTATCTATATAATGTTTTAGATAGGCCCAGGATGAAACAAGTGAGATGGAGCATCGACGAGCGTTTTGGCGGGGGATAATGAGTACATAAAATTCTGTAACAAGACTTTACCCTGATCGGACCCCCGCGCTTAATAAGACTTCAACACACGCGAGGTACGAGCGTATGTGTTGAAGTGTCTGTCTAGGAGAGACAAGTAACTAGCCACAGTTAGACTATATATAGCCATGACGTTCAACAGCTCGCCGAGCCTGCGGTGCTTGTAGTTGCCTTGTTACAAAAAGAGCGATTAGAAGCTTGCTCGGGTGCTGACCGAATGAAATTGCGGCTCCTGAAGGTAACACGAGGCCGGCTTCGAATTCTTGAGTATCCGACGCTAATCAGACGCTACGACACAACGGTAAGAAGCAAAATATTCAAATTGAGCCTGTCCACAAATTCGCCAAGGAAATATTTTGTTACTAGCACTTGGCGGTTGCTTTGAAGAGGGAATTTCGGCGCCAGCGGCCAGGGTCCGAGTCTGGGTTTCCCGGAGGAACATAGGAAGAGAGTCAGTTCAGTTGATCCTTCGTGCCGCAGGATATGTCATTCCTGCGGTCATCTTGAGCCTGCGAAAGTTGACCCTGCAGTCTGGAGGCGTCCCACCGTTGCGCTTCAATCGTTCCTCCTAGGTTTCGCCACGGCATAACGTGAGGACCAGTCACATAGTGTAAGTTATCCCCGTTGGCGACTCCAAGTGACGAAAGCGTTGGAAGGCGAACTTCGAAGCATCGCGAGTAGCACATTTTGCTATTTTCGACGTGCGAAGTTACGGAGAGGCATGACAACCTTAGTGGAGTGTCTCGCAGGTGACCAGGAACGGTACGAGCAGGGCTCCTTCTCGGACTTCAAAGATATAAGTGCTATCAGAGGTTTATTCTGCATACCAAGTACAGTACTAAGTATCCGATGCCGGTTGTCAAATATCCGCCAATCTCAGGGGGCAGTCATCCCCACGACTGCACGAGATTGTGTCAGTCAGCCCATCCCATCCAGTAGGAAGACCTGTAGGTCTTCGGCGGCACAGGCAGCGCCCGTGGAAGGTGGGCATTGCCGGTGCGCGCTCCACAGAATCCTGCGAGCACGCATGCACACCTCCCCCGGCGTGTCAGAGAGGCCTTCACGCTTCACAAACGCAGATACGCGCGCGCGCCAAAGCCCGACTACACGTCCTCTGCCTTTTTTGTGGCTTCCTCCTTAGCCGCTTTTTCCTTCAATGTTGCGGTTTCCTCCGTTGTCTTTTCAGGCTCGGCCACTGCTTTGTATGCATCTCGCGGCTTAGTGTGTCCTGGGCCGATTAAAGCCGGCGAACCGTCGACGCGAGGCCGCGAGTGGTTGGGATGTATGCAGAACGACTCCGCGGGTCCTTGACTGGAGTTACGTCCCCCACGGAGGACATTGGAGATGATGTGGGAGGCTCCGTGGATTGGGCGGTGTCTCGAGGTCGGGCAAGCCTGAGACGCCGGGGGACGGAGACCGGCCAAAGAAGGATGTAAGCCAAGGCAGAGGCCCGGGTGGATGTCCATGTTCTGTGGTAGACGGCCGCGCTGGAATTTTACGATGCCCTTCCGCAATCGGGGATATTGGGGGGCTGGGCTCTCCTTCGACTGCGATTGGGCACTCTTGCCCTGCGGAGGGGCATACGCATCGTCTGAGTCCTCATTTTTACATTTTTGCGCTTGAGCGGCATGGAGGCACGTGGGAGCGGTGCACGGAGAAGAGCGTCTAAAGTAATTGCGCTGTACAGAGCTCAGTTTGGATTGAATCGAAAATCCAAAAACATGAGAGGTCTTACAATTAGGCTAGCTGCAAAACTGTCTCCTGGGATTTCGAGAAAGACGGGGGCGGTTCTGGAGCTTCCGGTGACAAGTTTTGGTTTTAAATTGGCAACCCCGACTGCCCTAAACCCGTGATTATATTCCACATTGATCAAACGACTGTCTTTGATATCTACGCATAGGTACTAGCTCGAGTCTAGTACCAATTGTTGTTTTTGTCCTGGTTAGGCCTCACCGACTTCCCGGGAACTTTTAGATCGCATTTAAACGGTCTGCGAAACAGGAAGCACTGATACTGCATTCGAAAACCACAAAACCAGCTGGCGATTCATCCATCACTCGAGGTGGTTTTCTTCTCTGACCAGTTTCAACACGGTGAATTGAGGCTCAGCCGACGTTGTATCCAGCACAACGGAAGAATTTGGGAGACAGTGAACAGCTATTCCAAAGTCGCCCTACATTTGAGCTCCCGGGAGCTAGTTGGGCAAGATCTCTGAAGATCTCACACAACTCCGTGTTCGCAACTGCACAAAGATGCTTTTGTCCAGTAAAGTTCCTCAGAGTGAGGTGAATTCCGCCACACCTCAGCAATTCACGGCTTAGGGAGTACTATCTATTCACGTTCCCACGGTCCTTGATTATCCCAGCTTATGTTCAGCTGACATTGACTGCAGCACATGGAAGCCCCTGTGGATCAACGGTAGATCGTCCTCTCCAATTATAGGGTTAGCAGAGTTTGGAGGAAGGCGTGGGTTCGAATCCCGCTGGGGGCATGGGCGGTGATTACAAAGTATTTTTATTTTTATTTTCGTTCTCAGGTTCTTTTGTCTTGCCTTTTGTCTTCAGTATTTGACAGGGGGTCAGACTGAGCCTATTTCTGAGTGAAAAGGTGCAGAATTAAAGACAGAGCAGCTGTCCTGCTGAAAAATACTCGAAAAAGACCAGATAAACCACATTTCTTAGCTCAGAGAGTGGTCCCAGGTGTAAGGGGGGAAATTCGAGGAGACGATTCGCTGCGTATTTGGAGTCCGGATTGATTGAGCCTACTCCCGAGGGAAACGGGCGAGATTTGAGGCCGGGGCAGCTGTCCTCGTCCAAAGTATCGAAGAAATTTGATCAAATTCAGAATAGTTGTACGAGAAAAAGTTTCTAGGGGCCGCAGCAAGAATGTGAAGAGACCATTCGCTGCCCTTGGTCAATGCGGTTCGAACGCGCATATTCCCGAGGTAAACAGTTACGAATTGAGGACAGGGCAGCTGTCCTCGTCAAAACTATCAAAAACACCCCAAAATGGTAGAAAAAACATCCGCGCCCTAAGTTCCGCAAAGAGCTGTAAACGCCAAGCGATGCCTATCACGTACTTTGTTCACTAGACACCGGAAGAGGATGAGGGTGCAGTGGTTCTGTCTCGGAGTGTACATGTAACTGGATATTTGCGCCTTCATGAGGTGGCACACCGATTTTATACAATCCAATTGTTGCCACTCTCTTTTCCTTACCACTACCACCACCACCCGCAATTTCTCCACACCACCGCGCCGTCGCGTCGAAAGTGCGTCAAACATGTCCAACAACATACCGAAGCACACACAGGCGGATCAACAGCTTATTGACAGCGTCTCCGCGCTCCAATTGATGAATTTTCGCAATTATGGAGGTTGCGTCGCGTCGCGTGTCTGCCCTGCTCAATGCCCATAGACAGATGTTTTCATCTGCTTACATCGAGTATTCCCGCTCCACCGGCAGGTATATAATTACCATACTGACATCCAGTTTTTGCTAACTCGTTCGAAGAAATTTCTGCGACCCTTTCCACGCCGCCCGCCAACTTCACTGCAACCGGCACTGCCTTGGCGGACGTGCCCGAATTTAATCCAGCATTGGGCTCGGATGTTGCTCCAACATGGAGTTCGACTTCGGTGTGGCTCCGTCGAACTCCGCGCTCTCTTCCGATGCTGCAGGTAGTGATGTCCGTGGCTTGGCTTCAAGCCCAGAAGCCAAGAAGCCAAGAAGCCAAAGCCCTGCCAAAAGCCAGGGCTGCAAGCCCTGGCTTTGACCGGCTAAATTCCACCCTCAGCAGGGGTTTATCTGGCTGAAGTTGGTACATGTTGACGGTGTTTCTCCCACTCCTCAATATTCTCCACTCCAGGTACTTTTCTGGGCGGACAATTTAGTACACGACGACCGAAGATTTCAACATGTAAGGTCACATGTCTGTTCAACCTCCTTAAAAGCAATGAAGTGTCGAGAACCGTTCTTTGGGTAACTTCCTCTGGAAATTTTAGGCATAAATGGGTATTCTACCAGATCCCTCACCTGAAACAGCAGCATAAAAAATTTCTACTGCAAGCCATGGCCTGAGCCAAAGCCAAGCCAAGCCAAGCCAAGCCCTCGCTCAGGGCTTTGGCTTTGGCTTCGGAATTTTGAAGCCAAAGCCCGGTGAAGCCAGGCCAAAGCCATGGCTTGCAAGCCAAGCCAAGCCAAAGACATCACTAGCTGCAGGAGCGCCTTCGACACCCTTTTCACGCCCTCGGAACTCGCCAACCATTTTGGGTTAAATCCGAGCGCCTCGGCGGCCTCAAACGCTATTCGAGATTTCATAGACTCATTTGCGACACCCTTTCCAATGAAACCTCGATATCCTCAGCGTGGATTTACAACGACCATTGGCCTGTCATGCCCTCGGTCCCACCCGAGTCGCCGGAGCCATCGGCTATCGGTTCTGGAATTTCTTCCGGTGCCCCAAGGGCACGCGCTCGTCGACAGCCCGAGGTCGATGTGAGTCTTATCCTGTCGGAGACGTTGGCGCGTTCCCGAGCTCCTTCTTCACCTAAGCGAAACGCGGAGCAGATTGGTGCGGACCAGGACCCGAATTCGAAGGAAATGCGAAAGGTGTCTCGGCTCTCGCTGTTGATCATGCATGACGACTGATTATCCAATTCCAGTAATCGTAACGCACGAATTGAACGAGTTGCACCCACACTTTCAATAGTAAATATTCTATCACTGAACTTTCATAGATGTTAGATGAATGATTTATGCATTGGAAAGCCTTGAGGAGCTGGATCGTGTCATCTTGATCGGGACGTAAGTGCGTCTCCTGAAATAAATTAATGTCGTAGCGTTCGAGGTCTTTACGGAAAGTTTGGGCAGCTCATTTGTAAAGAAAAGGCGCCATTGATATTCCAGCTGCGGATACTAAGTATCTGTGTGGTATACACGGGGTGGGTAGAAGTAGATAAAGGGGGCGATGATACGCTAACGGCGCGTCTGAGAGCGCGAGCTGATATATAAGATACCAGGCTGAACACTCCGAGGACCGTAAAACTATGTGTGTGCGAGTGGGTCAATCCAGGTCCAGTGCTCGACTGGCTGGGAGCAAGGGAAAGGAAGGGAAAGGGGGAGTGCGAGGTATTCGCAAGGTGGCGAGCGGTAGCGGGGACGACGAGGAAATAAAGCAAGGCGAAGGCAGCATGGACGGCGAGGGACCAGGTGAGAGCATGAGCAACGACGAGGGCTCAAGACGGCGACATACGGAAGCAGGGGCAAAAGCGGTACGATTCGTTCTCCGTGTAAAATGTGATACAGGTGGAATATATATGCTGTAAGTAAGACAATAAGGAGAAATGCCCCATAGAGATTCAGATTGAGGGGCAAGGGACCAGGGCAATTGCGGTGTCGGATACCCGTGACGCGACGGTGGTCGGGAACAGAAACGGGTGCTTGTTTGTCTCCAGGGCACACCCAAGCCAATATCGGATCAATCCGAATTAGTCAGATTACACGGTCAGCGCCATACGCTGTTCATCAACGAAGTAATGTGAGAAGGGGACGAGGTAGGTGGGGTCGGGGCTGACCCATTTTGGGCGGGCAGTACATTAGTAAGCGAAGGTAAGGACGATGCGGACGGCGGTAGCGACGATGGCAGCGTGCGAGAAGAATAAAAAGATAGAAAAGGGGGCTGAGCTGCCCTCACGCATTTGGGGTACGCGCGGTCTCGTAGATGCCGCGGTCCATCTTGGCCCATTCCGCGATCACCCAGGGGGGAGGGGGGGGTGGCGGGGCGTAGGCTGTCGGCTGTGGAGCGTAGGTCGTGGGAGGCGGCTGAGGAACGTAGGTCGTGACGATGGGAGCAGCCTAAAGGGGTGTGGGCGCGGCAAGAGGAGCGAGCGGGGCAACCGGTGTGTAGACGTAGGTGGGGGGCACCGTCACCGCCGTATGCGCTGTCGTTGAGGTGTCATGGTGTGCGCGGACGTTGCGGACGCCCAAGGCTGCATACACGTCGTCGCGGGGGCGCTTGCCGTTGGCGTTCATGAACTCGCGCAGCACGGCGCCAAGCGTGTCGTTGTCGAGGGTCGTGACACCGCAGTTTGAGGTAAATTTTCATCCGCCAATATCTCGCTGATCTAGGGTGTTTTAGCGAAATAATGGCCAGATATTGGCAGGAATATTGACGGGCTGTTATTCCTCGAGAACACCTTGTATTCGTCGAATATTGGCAAGCGGAAATCGGACTTAAAAAGAATTTTCGTGCTGATATATTACATAATCTAAAGTCTTCTTCCTCCATCCATCATGTACGCTGACGCGGCAGCCATCGCGCCACATCGCGTCGTTCCGTCGCCGCCGCTTTCTGGGATCCCATTCACATCATCGGCACCCCTTCAGATCTCGCTTTTCGTGCCGAATGCGTCCAAATTGCGCCCTCTGAGTACGACGAAGAACTGGCAGCAAGATCGAGCTCCTCAGCCTCTAGGAGCAGCTCTAAACCCGGCTTCTACCATTCCTGCACACCTTGAAGCCTTGCCAAACCAATGATGTGAAGAATTCCACGTACTGCATTGCTTTGTTGTCAAGACGTACGTCGCGATCGTTGCGCCTGCAGAACACTGACGACAGACCCCATAACCGTATATCGTATACGTACACGGTCGCGCGCGTCGCGGCACAGGTGGGTGGGAACGGTTCGTGGAGCCATATAGGGCAGTGGACACAAATTGTGAGTGGTGAGTGCATGTCCTTTTACCTCGTTCCGCGTTAACGAGCGATTCCGCCTTCAACTTGAACATGCGATGGTGGACATAGTGCTTACTGCTGTGGTCACTCGAGGCTCGGTGCAAACTGTGCACAGCGGCAAGGTACGCCTCTTTGTCTCCGTGCAGGTTCGCATTGCTAACTCTTTGTTCCTACGCGACTTCTTCCCGTCGCGCCAATCGCTGCACGAGACCTCGTGAAAAAAGCCTGCTACCTTGGAGTGTGGTTCGAAATGGGTTCTAAATTCATCTGGAAGGAACAGTACAACATCAAAGCCAAAAAAGCGCGCACCATTGCAAATGTAATCTTAGGACTCGACCGGTTTGTGGGTACACTCCCAGCCTGGGATGCCCGAACACTCTACATGGCCCGGGTCGATCCTTACCTCACTGCCGGATGCGACATATGCCTGGATGTTGATTTGAAGAGTCTCAAGATGCTTGAAAAAGTTCAACTCATGTTTTTGCGCCGCATGCTTGGCCTTGGCTCTCGTTCCATGAGGGCTGTCTTGTTCTCAGAGACAGGAATCTGGCCTATCAAGTACCAACGAGTCTACTTGGCTCTGGAAAATCTGTGCTACCGGTTGGAGTTAGACCACAAACGGCCGGCTTGGAATGCATTGCAAGCCTCCTTGACCCTGGCCCATGCCCAGAAGATCTCCTGGGTCAATGACCTCCAAATCGTTCTCTCTCGGCTTCACATCCCAGTGGAGTTTGACATCTCATTGGAGCCTACAGTG